TATATATATATATATATATATATAATAAAATATTATTAAATACAATATTTTAAGTTTATTTATTATAATTATTTTTATTCATTAGTTTAAGTTTATATATTAAATAAAATACAATACTATGCAATATTTAAAGTTTATTGCAAAATGTTAAAAATATTATATTTAAAAACAAAAAATGCTTTAATTTTGTTTACAATATTGTTAAAATTACAAGAAATAAACCTAAAACTAATTATTAAAAATGATCCAACTAAATTGACATAAAATACTGTATTTAAAATTTTTTTTTTTTTTTTAATAATATATTTTAAGTTTATTGCTAAATATTCAAAGCAGTTTGAGAGAGTTGGGAGACAGAATGCTTTATGGGAGCAGGTGGTCACGACTGTCTTTTGTTGTGATTTCATTAAACAGGCAGCTGAAGGTAAACCGAACTATAACCAGTTTAACTATCAGTGACGGGTCACTCGTCTCTGTGCTGTTGTTCCGGCTCATTCTCCTCTCACTAATGGCTCTTCTGCTGCTGGTCAAACACATGCGTGTCGTGTGTTTAGCTGCTGATCCAGACTCACAACAGGCCTGTTCACTCTCTAGTGCCTCTGGAAAAGCAGTCAATGCAGCGATGTGTGTCTGTGTCTACCCATAATGCCCTTGTGACAGGAGACTGGACATATGGCGATACACACACAAACACACACACACACACACACACACACTCTCACACACACACAGACACACACACACACTAGAGCACTGGTACTACAGTACCTAACTGCTGCTGCAATAAAAACAAAAGCATATATATATAGATGATTATATATTTATATTTATTTAAATTATCTGATTGTTTTTAAACGTTTATTTATTAAATATTAATTTTTATCTATTTAATGTATCAACTCAAGTCTAAATAGTTTACTCTGAACGAAATATTCATATACAATATCAATACACAAAAAAATTTATTAATACATACACAGTCATATTTATTAAACATAAATATATATACTGGGCAATGACATATATAAATAATATAAATTAATACAAATAAAATAAAGGTAATTAATCATACATTTTATAAACACATTTATATTAATTTATATTAATAATGTATATTAAGTTGCTAAAGAAATAAATTAAAATATTAATATTTACAAAAATACAGATTTTATAATAATCATGTTTAAATATTTATTTAATAATTTATTAATAATTATTTATAATTTGTTATTTTGATATTTGTCAAAATATCTGTCAGAGCTTTTAAACAAACGATTCATATTTAATTTAAATTGGTAAACATATGTAATAAAAAAGTGTTTATCCTACGAATACTCGACGTAATTATTAGTGAATGAGAGCCAGTTTCTCACCGAAGTCGGCCAGTTTGAGTTCTCCGGTGTCGCTGATGAGCAGGTTCTGTGGTTTCAGGTCACGGTGAAGGATGTAGCGCTGATGGATGTAAGACAAACCCCTCAGTAACTGGAACAGGAACAGCTGCGGAAACACAAGATTCATGTGTAAGAGTCACAGATCACCTGCCAATCCATATATCACTTAAAACACAAATCAACATCACACGCGTCAGTCAAACTGAACAGGATCCAGTAGGCCTGGGTGATAAAACGGTATCGATATTTATCGACGGTACACCTTCTTCGATATCGATAGAAAAAAT